AATAAAAGTCTGTGGTGCCATACCAGACAAGAATTTCTACAGAGGTTTACAGAGTAGAAGAGGCAAGAGAGTGAGGGCAGGAGCTGCTTTCTTCAATGTAAGATGAAGGACCTACATCGTCTTTGCATCACATTAGCTGAAAAGAATGCTGGCCTAAAAAGAAGTGCTTCTAAGGGGAACGTATTCCATTCTTACATCCAAAGTTAGTATAACCAAGCAAGTAGTATAACTCTAAAGCTTAGGGACTACAAGAGCAACCAGGGATGCTAACTTACATTCACTGTGTTCGATTATCTGAGAGAACATCCCAGGTGCCCCAAAACAGAATCTGTCTTAACTGGCAAACGTTGGGGCAGCCATCTCATGCCACTGCCCACCAACTCACATGTTACTGCATAAAGTATAGTCCTCTAAAGGGAAAGGAAAACAGAGAAAGGTATCTAACCAAAAGAAACATGTTGGTTTTAGTTGTAGATTCTTCGTTCATGAACCTTGTGATCAAGGATGGGTTGTTTACCTGCTTCTATAACCTCAGTTTTCTTTGTTATGTGAAGGGGATGAACCTGCCCCCAAATATTTAATATAGTTGTTAATATTAAGTGAGATAATATAGATTGACAAATGTAAAATTGCAATATCTCTGAACTATTTCTTTGTATTGAAAAAGTAATGCATGAGGGACTGGCAGATGGTGTAGTGGTTATGTCACTGGACTCCCACGTAGTTGACTGCTGTCTGAGTCCCAGACCTGGCAACTTAAAACACACCAGGCACATTTGTGTGTGTGCCCAGAATCTCAAGAGGAAAATGGAGTGGAATGGAATGCTAGTTGGCTATCTCCCCTGGGGACTGATTTCTCACTTTCTGCCTCCCTATCTCTCTGGTGAGTGTACGCATCCTATAGCAAAAATCTCTCCAAAAAAAAGAAAGAAAAGTAATGCATGACCATGGCAAAATAGGAAGAAAGAAGAAAAGGGAGCAAAAAAAAAAAAAAAAAAAACAAGTAAATTTCTTTAACACATGCAAGGACAAAGTAGGAATCATAGCTCTGTCAGTGGCAAGTTCAATAATAATACTACTACTATTAGCACCAATTATGACAAGAACCAGATGACTGAAAAAATCACATAAAAGATCAAGCTATGGTAGTTGATTTCAAATGTGTATATTTTAGCATAAATGTTATATTCCATTGAATTCTTTAATTACATTCTTCTGATTAAACTCTTTAATATTTCCCAAATGACAAATAATTAAATTCTATAATAATCTATGACTAGCTGTGCTAATATCATCTTCTAACTACATACCTTTTCATAGGAATGTCAGGAGATATCTGTACATATATGTATAGATACATATATATGGAGAGATGTATATGTGTCTGTGTATTTACCATATATTACTTACATACATTTGCTTATATATGTATTACTTGTATTATTTTTCTTTATGAATTTTAATTTTGGGGCCTTATTTATTAAGACCAAGCCCTTACTCTATTATTAAAGTTTTTCATTTTTTTTTGTTTGTTTTTATAAAATGCTTGAAGATCATTTGCTTTCTGGAGCAAAATAAACAATTTGTTTAAATATTATTTGTACTATATATTTACATATATATCCTTTTAAGCATTGCATAATAATTCAGTGTAGGAGTATTCCATAAGCTATTTAATCAATCTTATGTCAATAAATAGAATTATTTTTTTGACAGAGAGATTTTTGCTATAGGGTGCATATGCTTGCCAGAGAGACAGAAAGTGAGAAGTCACCTCCCAGGCGCTATGGCCACACCACAATCCCTTCTCCTCCATTCTTCTCTCAGGATTTTGGGCACACATGCACAGGTACCTGGCATGAGTTTTAAGCTGCCAGTTCTGGGACTTGACCATAGTCAACTATGTGGAGTCCAGTGATGCAACCATTGTGCCATCTGCTAGTACCAATAAATAGTTTTAATATTTTTATCTGAGTTTATTCCTGCTATAACAACATCAGAATAAATATCCTAAAGTAGACGCAGTTCTACATTTTTGTGACCATACCTGAAAGACAAATTCCTGGATGTAGCACTCCTAAGATGTGTTTCTTAATAAATTTTAAATGTATATAAGTATACATTTAAAATTATATTTAAAAATTTTATAGATATAGAAAAATTGTCCTCTGCAGAAGTTTCAATAACAGTACCCTTAGAACTATGCATAGAAGAATGATTCTTGTTGTTCGGGTTTGCCTTTTTAAATGATGAGATTTGATATCTTTTTCTATGTTTAAAAGTTATTTATCTAATTGCTGTATCAGTGTTTTGAATTGTCAGTCTTTTGCCTTTTCTTTTTTCCTCCAAATTCTTTTATATTTATGTAATTTGCTATTTTATTTATTTATTTTATTTGTTATAGGGCAGGTATCCTCACTGGAGAGAGAGAGTGATAGGGAAAGTGAAAAGGCACCAGGGGAATGACCATGCCACAATCCCTTTTCTTCCATTCTCTTCTCAGGATTTTGGGCCTGCACACTCATACTCTCAGGGATTTTTTATTTTGCTTTACTTTTGTTCTTAATAGATTTTTACTATAGGGCATGTGCACTCACCAGACAGAGAGACAGAAAGTGAAAAATCACCCTCCAGGAGGTGATGGCCATGCAGCAATCCCTTCTTTTCCATTCTTTTCTTGGAATTTTGGGCATGCACACACAGAGCCTGCCTAAAATTTAAGCCGCTGGGTCCAGGATTCTAACGGTGGTCAGTCACATGGGAGTCCAGCAACGTAAGCATTATGCTCTCTGTTAGTCCCTCTCCGCACATGGGAGTCCAGCAACATAGGCATCATGCTCTCTGTTAGTCCCTCTCTCAGGGTATTTTTTAAGTCTCCAGATCTGCGATTTGAACTGCACAATTGGCCATATGAGATCCAGCCTCCTTAACCACCACACAATCCGCTGGTCCTAAATTCAGTAATTTTCTATCACATACTTTACCTAAAATATTTTCCCATTTTTGCTTTGACATGTTTTTTTCTCTAAAAATTTTAAATGTTGGGGCCAGCAGATTGTGTAGTGTGGTTAAGGCTCTGGACTCCCATGTGGCCAACCATGGTTTCAGTCCTGGACCCATCAGCTTGAAACTCACACCAGGAGCATGTGTGTGCATGCCCAAAATCCCGAGAGGAGAATGGAGGAAAAGGGATTGTGGTGAAGCCATTCTCTCTGGGAGGGGTGATGGTGGTGGTGATTTTTCACTTTCTGTCTCGGTCTCTGTCACTCTGGTGAATGTATGTCCCCTATAGCTAAAAAACAAACAAAAAGTCTCTCAAAAATTGTTTAAATGTTTAGATATTACTTGCATATACTTTTCTTTATTTCTTCTGAATTTTGGGTCTTGTTTATTAAGGCCAAATGTTTGCTCTATTATTAGGAGCTTGAGTATTTTTTTAATAAAATTCTTGAAGATCATTTGCTTTCTGGAGCAAAATAAACCATTTCTTTAAATATTATTTGTGCTATGAAGGTGTTTACCAAATCATTTTCTACGCAGATTTCAAAGGGACATCACTGCCTCACCTATCTCATAATATTACTTTAAAATTTATGATATCTGAATTAATGGAGATTTCAGAATTTTGCAACACCAAGAAATAAACTTTCAACAATTTTTTTTTTAATTTTCCAATACACAGCTCACAGCAATTTTGTCAAGAGGAGATGGAATTTGGGCTAGTTTCTTTTTCAGATGCCATTTGTCCAGAAATATGTCATAATTCTTTCAGTAAACTCAACTTTCATTCCCAAATCCCACACCCACTTTTTCTCTAATGAAAAATTGCTCAACTGTCATGAGACTATGATGATATTATCTGAAAAAAATTATGATTATGTGTTTACTTCCACACAACAGGGTTGGGCAGCAGAAAGTGCACTTGAGTTTAGTAATTGCTTCTTTATCAGTTCATCTCTGCTGCCAGCTCATATGCCTCTCACAGGCAGGGACCTTGTCCTAATTATCACTGAATGCTCAGAATATATCATAATTCTTAATTAAGGGAAGCTGCTTAATGGTATGTGAGGACAAAGAGAAAGAAAGAACAAATGCATGTCCACAGGTTTTTCCCTATGACTGACTGACTATATGGTCTTGAACAAATTGCTTCATCTTTCTGGACCTCAATGTCCTCTTCTGCAAAACAAAAGGTTGGCAGGAAGAACAGTAAGAAAATAGATTTACTAGGGTTTTGAAAAATAAAACATTAAGAAAATTATTCTAATCCTATTAATATGCATTTAATAAGAAACTATTTTTCTGCAAGATATAGACTACCGGAACAGCTAACTATGTGATACTGAATGCAAGTGTAAACATGGAGGTCAGAGAAAAGCAATTTTCATGGGAGAAGTGTATTGACTAATAAAACATTATTATAGTATCTTTATTATCTCCATCACCGATATTGTGAAAGAAGCTTAGGGCTACTAAGAGAAAAGGGACTGTTGACTATAAAAATCATTTTGTAAGTTTCATGCTTTCTCCCTTAATAATGTCTTCTCGTTGGTTTATTAATTTTTATGTCTATTCCAGAAATCTCCTAATGCTATGGAGGTTTTATATATAATTTCAGTTTAGTTAGTCCAATTGATCAATATTATGCTTAGTTTAATTGGCTGATGAGATAGAAAGCAAGCAGGTGATAGATGTTTGGATAGATAGATAGATAGATAGATAGATCTAGATAGACAGATTTAGATAGATATTCATATCTAGGAATGGACACATTCAAAATGTTATTGGTATCCAAATACATTACTAACCTGAAAAGACCTTTTGAATCTTCCATTTCAAGTCTTTGCCTTTTATGCAAGATATTGGGGCACGAAGACACAATGAACCTGCAGGGGAAAGAGGATTTAAGGGAGAAATGTGGTTAAAAAGAAAGAAATCTGATGTATTTTAAAGCAATGTTTAAATTATATTTGTTAACTTTATTCTATCTACTTGCAGGTGTAAATGTTCACTTGGCTACTTGACAACTGATTAGAGAACAAAATGAATAACTCAACAAACTCCTCTAATAATGGCCTGGCTCTTACTAGTCCTTATAAGACATTTGAAGTGGTGTTTATCGTCCTTGTGGCTGGATCCCTCAGTTTGGTGACCATTATTGGGAACATCCTTGTCATGGTTTCCATTAAAGTCAACCGCCACCTCCAGACCGTCAATAATTACTTTTTGTTCAGCCTAGCCTGTGCTGACCTCATCATAGGTGTTTTCTCCATGAATTTGTACACCCTCTACACTGTGATTGGCTACTGGCCTTTGGGACCTGTGGTGTGTGACCTTTGGCTAGCCCTGGACTATGTGGTGAGCAATGCTTCAGTTATGAATCTGCTCATCATCAGCTTTGACAGGTACTTCTGTGTCACAAAACCTCTGACCTACCCAGTCAAGCGAACCACAAAAATGGCAGGGATGATGATCGCAGCTGCCTGGGTCCTCTCCTTCATTCTCTGGGCTCCAGCCATTCTCTTCTGGCAGTTCATTGTCGGGGTGAGAACTGTGGAGGATGGTGAATGCTACATTCAGTTTTTTTCCAATGCTGCTGTCACCTTTGGTACTGCCATCGCAGCCTTCTACCTGCCAGTGATTATCATGACTGTGCTCTATTGGCACATATCCCGAGCCAGCAAGAGCAGGATCAAGAAAGAAAAGAAGGAGCCTGTGACCAATCAAGACCCTGTTTCCCCAAGTTTGATACAAGGAAGGATAGTAAAGCCAAACAACAACAACATGCCCAGCAATGATGATGGCCTTGAGCACAACAAAATCCAGAATGGAAAAGCCCCCAGAGATGCTGTGACTGAAAACTGTGTCCAGGGGGAGGAGAAAGAGAGCTCTAATGACTCCACCTCAGTCAGTGCTGTCGCCTCTAATATGAGAGAGGATGAAATAACCCAGGATGAAAACACAGTTTCCACTTCCTTAGGCCATTCCAAAGATGAGAACTCTAAGCAAACATGCATCAAAATTGTCACCAAGACCCAGAAAGGTGACTCATGTACCCCATCTAATACCACTGTGGAGCTGGTTGGGTCTTCAGGTCAGAATGGAGATGAAAAACAGAACATTGTAGCCCGCAAGATTGTGAAGATGACTAAGCAACCTGCAAAAAAGAAGCCTCCTCCTTCCAGGGAAAAAAAAGTCACCAGGACAATCTTGGCTATTCTGTTGGCTTTCATCATCACTTGGGCCCCGTACAATGTCATGGTGCTCATTAATACCTTCTGTGCACCCTGCATCCCCAACACAGTGTGGACAATTGGTTATTGGCTCTGTTACATCAACAGCACTATCAACCCTGCCTGCTATGCACTTTGTAATGCCACCTTCAAGAAGACCTTTAAACACCTTCTCATGTGTCACTACAAGAACATAGGCGCCACCAGGTAAACCACCCCTGAAAAGAAGGAAGGTGGCCAATGGGAGCTTGGGAAGAATAAGAGGGATAGAAAAGCTCCTACTTTAAAAACCTCTGCCATTGCACTTTACAGTCTTATTATGGAACGTGCAATTAAGGAGCCCAGCAGGGACACTCTTACCATGCTGACACTCCAGTTTCTGAAACTTGCACCTTACAAACTCTGTCAGTTTAAGAGCAATGTGTCATTGAAAGAGACGTGTTGGAATTGTGGATTTAAGGGGTGATTTATGTTTTCTCATACTCTCTTGAAGAAGGGCTTCTGAATCTACAATTTTATCAGTCTCTGCACAAGAAGAATAACCTCATCCCTCTTTCATTTCTTGTTGTTGTTGTTCTCATGCGTCCATAGAGGATGAAATCCCACAGTTACATGCTGACACAGAGATGTAAATATAAAGAAGTAGGTACCCAACAGTGTAGAAGTGAAGAAGGAACATTAAAAAGGATGTAGGCATGATCTCCAGAGAGTTCCACGTATTCCTTTTGTTATGGTTATTTGGAGGATTGCAATGTAATAAATGTTTATTTTTTCTATCTTTCCCTTTTTTCCACCGTACAAAGAAAGCAAACAACCACCTCAATTAGGTCTCTCCTTTTTTTTTTTTTTCCATGTTATGACATTGTTTCTGTATGTTCCTCGCCTACATTGTGTATGGGCAATACCCATAGGATGTCCCCTAAGTCCATCCAGAGACAGCAATGAAATAGGCATTACAGTCCTCATGACTGTGTCCTTTCCATTCTTTGGTGGCATAAAAGCTTCTAAGGATTTAGTTTACAAGTGATCGATAATGTAATAATTTTAACTTACCTGGTTTTCTCTTAAGTTAACCTTTTATTTTAACAAGATAGTCTACTTAAAACATGAACTTGCTTGAGAAACCAAAATCATTGTCAAGTTGAGGTTTCATTCAAATGAAATAGTGGTCAATCTAGTTGGAGAAAGCTTACTGAGGCCACATGAATTTTGACATGAGAAACAAGGTCAGAAGGGCATTCTGTTTCAACCTGAATATGCCTGACCCAAATATGAAATGTTAACTTATAAATCATGAACTCCTGACTTTGCCAGCAAGAGAAGGCTTCTTTATTCATTTGGAGTCTTACACAGGAAAACCCGTACTCAAGTGGCACCGATTCCTAGTAGTTCAGTTCCAAAGAATAAGACCTCCTCATCGAAATTTGCTACAGAATGATTTCCAAATGACTGTCAAGTGAGGTTGTTTATAACCATCCTATGATTCGGTGGAGGAAAAAAAAAAAAGGCAATTGAAAACCACCACATGTTTTCCTCAAATTATCAATTTTCCCTAAGATTATTGGACCTCAGAATTCTCCTCTTAGTAGAATCGTAGTAATCTTTGTGACAGAAACAGAGTGGAGAACTAGGGGCCAAACAAATTCACAGAATATGATGAAAGAATGCCAAGTACCTGTTCTCAGGTTACTTCTCACCAACTAATTCTGAACTATCAAAAGTCATGTCAAGAACAATGATCTAAATTGAAGCATTATAAAGAATTTTGTCTATGAAGGGGCTCTTTACTTGGTAGCCCAAATAAATACAGAATTATATCACTTTACATTTAACTAGTTATGTTTATCCCTCCTACTTTTTTCTTACACTATTTGCAATAGTCTTCCAGATTTTCTAAAAATGAATCAATCAACAGAAATCAAATTCATAAATACCTCTTCAAATTACATACCGCATTTCAGATTATGAACTTTATGATATCTCATCTAGTAATGTCAATGTCAGTTACATGATGAATTCAGCAGCATTAAACCCTAGTACTTATTACAGTTATTTTTGTATGAATTATCTCATTCAAAGCATCTCAACAATTTGGAGTATTAAAAAAAAAGCACAAGGGAACCCATGGTGAAAAAGTAGTGAGTTTGTAAGAGGCAACTTGTCAACACGGTACTGAAATTATTCTTTATGAAAATAATTTTAATAACTTCACTTATTTTCCCCTAAATCTTCTAAATAAATTTATAGCATTAGTTCATATGAATTCCCTTACTTAATGATTACTTCAAGATAAATTTTACACTTAAAATTTATTATAAATTTATTTTTATGCCATTTCTTCAAATCAACTAGCGAACTGAGTTAAAAGAATACCAAATCAACGGACTCCTTGGTTTCCTGTAAATGAACCAATCAACTGGCTGAATATTTCACATTTCATTGGTTGTTGTTACTATGATGTAGATTTGGTTTCAGTTAGAGGAACAATTTGGAGTCAAGTGTTCAGGATCTAAGGTCTTTTTTGTTGCTTTCTTTAGTAATCCAACTAACCATGAATCAAAACTCTCTTACTCTTCACTGTCACTGTATCCCTGCCTTTTTTCCCTGCTACTGTTGACCCTTGCTACAGTCACCACAACCTCTCTGAAAGAGACACTGTCAAGTTAAAGAAAGGATTTGAAGATAGACTGACACATCATGGAAACCGTCAGCCGGAATTACAAAAACGGAAGCAATCCTGAAAACAGTAGATAAGTGGAGAAATATGGAGACCTCAAAGATCTATCATGGAAACCGTCAGCCGGAATTACAAAAATGGAAGCAATTCTGAAAACAGTAGATGAGTGGAGAAATATGGAGACCTCAAAGATCAGTATTAACTATTGTCGGCTTTACCTATTTCAGCAGCTTTGAATTTCCCTTCCAGGGGATATTTCATAATGTATAGAAAAATTTTGTTGATTGTCACAACTGAGAGAAAGGCTCTGAGTAGAGGCCATGGATGCTGCAAAATAGCCTGGAATGCACAGGACAGTCCCCCAATCTCCTTCCAGCAGAAACTAGCTCAAAATGTCAAAATTGCCACCCCTGAAAAACTTATGTCTGTCTTAAGGGATTTCTAAAACTCACTTCCTATAAAGGGAGAAATAATTCTGCTTCATTTTTAGAAAATTGAAACAAATCGTTCACCTATTCAAAAAGGTAAGGCTCACCAATCATGTATCCAAAACACTCACCCACTAAGCCTGTTGGATTTGTAGTTTATAAATTGGGAAAACAGGCCACATTTATATATAAGGATTTATTCTGAGAAATGATCTTTAGGTAATTAGGTCATTTTGTGATCACCATACAAGATCCATAAATAAACCAAGATGGTATAGTCTACCATCACTTAAGCTAATGGGTATGGCCTATTTCAATCCTACAGGACCACCGTTGTATATTGAGCTCATCATTAGTCAAAATGTCATTCTGCAGCACATAACCACGTACCAGATTCAACAGATAATACACATGGCACATTATTTCCAGTATCTTAAAGTACAACTATGACTAGACCCACAAGTCCAAACTACTGAAGTTGCGGTAGCTACCCATCCAAATGGGTGCATCTGATGTGGTCAGTTTCTGCCATTTTTCCTTTCTAACACATTAAGGGCCCTTTTCTGAAAGGGTGAGTTTTACCCCCTTTGCTTTCACTAGAAAGTTGAATATTTGTCCATTTTTATTTCTTCCCTCCTCATAGCAATAATGTAAATATTCCAGAGTGGTCTTATAAGAAGAGGAGATTAAAAATATGAAAAAAAAAATGTGTCTTTTTAAAAAAGTGTTTCTTAACAGTTCATCATTAATTTCATGATACATATTTAGTGCTAGCTCCTAAGTATTAGGACAAAGTAACCAAGTTAATAAGTTACAAGAGACAACTTTTTTTTTACATGGAACTGGAAGCTGGAGATCTCACATATTTCTGCTCTTTGTCCATACATTGTTTTTTTGTTTTGCTTTGTTTTTTTGATCCCAAAGAACTGACACCGGGGGCAATGGGAGTTCAAAACAATGGCAACTGTGACTTAGCAATGCAGCTTATTTTTATTTTTTCCTATTTAGTTTATTGATAGTTTCCTCCTCTCTTCCCTAGTTTGATAATATCCCTTTCAACAACCATAGCACCACTGTTGCAAATAGATTAGGAAAACACTCAAAGCTGGATGAAATTGTGCAAAGTGTATTTTCAGCATGTAAATACAATATCATGCCTCTTCAATATGCTTCTCTTAAAAGCGTGCACGCTGTAGCATGAACTGTGTGCATATTTAATGTATCTTCTGGGAATATGCTGTATGCTTAATATATATATATTCTATAAATAAAATAATAAAATGTACAATAGAAATACATATTTCTGTATGCAAATAAATATATTATACACAAAAATATTCATATGCAATATGGTATATGTTGCTTCAGAGTAACAAGACTAGATTTGTGTGTCCAGTTTTCAAAGAAAGTAGAATTTGCATTTAAAAAAAGAGATCTAAGAATAGTAAAAATCTTACCCGTGTTAATATTAAACTGTTTTATAATCTCAGAGAACGTGGCATTTATTTTAAGTATCTCTTGGAGGAAAATATTAATAAATCTCTACTGGTACTACTCCATGTGACAACAATGCTTTAATCTCCTGTGCCCCTGACAGGCCTAGGAGCAGAATCCTCACAGCTGGGTACAGTTCCAGCAGCTGTGTTGATCTCATGTCTGATTGCTGATGAGGCTGCAACCAACCCATTCTCATCCAGTTTTGCTCTCTTCCAAATTAACTGATTTTAGTGAAATAAAAAATAATCATACTGTGAGAAAAGAATGACCTTCAGAATGTTTTTCATTCTGACAAAGAGTGTGAAAATTGTGCATGCTTGTAAACTACTCTTCTCAGTTTGGGTCCAATACAGGATCCCATACATGAGATCTAAACAATTTTTTTCTTTTCTTTTGAAGAATTATTTTATTTAATTTTATGTATTTGTTTATTTATTTTAATTTGATCAGAGAGGGACAGAGTGAGAAAGAGAGAAGGAAAGCAAGAAAGCAAGCTGCCAGGTCTGGGACTTGAACCACTATCGACCATGTGGGAGTCCAGTGCCTTTAACCACCATGCCAC